GGTATAAATAAGTATATTAGAAATTATATATCATATATTCGATTTATATATAGAATACTTACATATAGAATATTTATATACATATAAATATATATAAGTATACATTATATATGTATAAAATATATAAATAAGTATATTATAAATTATATAACATATATTCTATTTCAACATTATCATATCTTTCTTGTGTGTATATTTTATAATGTATGTTATTACTCAGAAAAATGTATGATTACTTTAAGCATATAAATAAACATATTTGGGGTGGGTGCTTACTGGGATTGGAAACTGCCATTGAAGGGCAGGAGGTCTATGACCTCCCAGGAACAGGGAAGAAGACAATAAGAAAAGCAAAAAAGAGAGCGCTAAGAAGGAAAAGTAGCACAGACAATACGACACACACATATGGACAGCCCAACGCAACGCAATGCAGTAACAGGAACCTTGTTCTGGAATAATCCAAGCCTGAGACAATGCTGAGGGGACAGAATCTTAGCAGCAAACAGCAGCCAACATAAAAACGAGCAAGGGCACAGCACAGGCGGGCAATATTCAAATTGGTTCATTCCTTCATCAAGAATGTATTGGCTCTTTGTGTTGTCTGTGGTAGATACTAGAATAAACCATGAAATTGGCAGAGAATTTGCCTTTGAGGAGATCGTAGGATAGTGAAGAAATTAAGCATGTAAACATATGATTAAAGAGCAGTGTGATCAACTGAATTTCAATAATCTCTGCAGAAAAAAAAAAAAAACCTGGGACCAGGAACTGAGCTTCTGCAGCAAGACACTCACACCTAGACACATTTACCACTCTCCTAGTCAGTAAGGCTTCGTGATTAAATGTGTAATGCTCTTGACTAGAACTTTTATAGAGTTTACTTTCTAATTAAATTAAGCACAGTTCCATAGTACATACAGCAAACACTGACCCATGTTGAGGCCCTGACACATTTCCAATTTCCCAATACTTGAAATTGTTTTTGTACAGATCTAGTTGCTATTTCTTTTCTACCCAGATTGTCTCGTCATCTGAGACACTCATCATTCTCGCTTCACGTCGGCCTGTGCTGAAGTTCTTTCCTCCTGAGTCCAAGGCCTTGTCCTCAGCCTCTGTTTATGCCCTAATCAGAGTTACAGTGTTGTCATCACCCGCATCATAGGGGCATCTTCTCCCTTCCAGTACCCTCTGCACAAAAGCTACTGTGCATTACTGACCACTAGGGAGTGCTTGCCTTTTCAGGCCAAAGACTCTGTGGCCCTCTGACTTTCCTCAATCTCAGCACCCTGCATTTTCTGACCAGTTAATTCTGCATTCTTTCTGCACTTGAGGAGCTGGTAGGGTGTTTTTTAAATGCTCTCGTTTGATAAAAGGATAACACAGACTGACTTCAACAGTTCTAAACTTTCAAGACCTGTAGCAGATCAGGAATTTTACTGCTCAACCATTTCAGACCAACGGTCACGTCAGCTACATCAACATTCACCTTAGCCTTACAGTCGAAAAAATACTTAACACTATTTTTAACCAGTACAGTAATGTGGCTTCATAGCTTTTAGGAATTAGGTTTCCTTCCCATTTCTCACTGTACATATTTTACTGTACAAATTCACATTTAGCCTAACTGATATTTTTCAAATGTTTTTACTTTTGCACATAAAATATCAAATCTATGCTATTATCCAAAGAATAACGGATGAGTGTTTTGAATGAGACACTTCCAATGTAGTCAATTAATTCATTAAAAAATTATCACACACACGTACTATATGTCTAGCTGTCTACTAAGTATAAGAAGTACAAAGATCACTTCTTTTCTTTGGAGCTCACAGTATGGTGAAGGGGACAGATATGACAACAAATTAATTTGATACATAAGACAACATGATAAGCAGATCAATGGCCAGGGCCATCCAGACAAGAGAAGGAACACTCACCCGGCCTAGGAAAGACACTCACCCTAGCAGAGGACTTCACAGGTGATGCTAGTGCTGAGTCTTCAAGGGTAAACAGTCTTCCAGATGAACAAAAGAAGAAAGCATTTCAGACAGAAAGAAATGCATGCTTACAATGTGCAAAGGGCAGAAGGCGCCTGCAGTGCCCAGTGCGTGTTACAGGAGAACATGAGAATGGGGAGAAAAGAGGCTAGAAAAAGTAGGTGAGCAGACCTCTCTTAAGGGGCTTTGTATACAACAGAAGCCATCTGTTTGTTACCCAGGAGGCTCTGAACAGCCACTGGAAGATCTTAGTCGGAGGTGCTGCACGATTAGAATCATGTGTTCTAAGATCAGTTTGACTGCAGCTTGAGAAATAAACTGGAAGAGGCAGGATGGAAGGCAAAGGAAGGAGGTGTGACACTCCTGCCTAGTCCAGCCCAGACATGCTAAAAGACTGGATAAAAGGAGCGAGCTGACAATCTAAAGGAGAATATAGATTTAAGAGGCATTTCAGAGGCAAAATCAACAAGACTTGGTGACAGGATGGACATGGGGTGTAAGAGAGCCATGACTCTTAAGACTCCTGGGTTTCTGGGGATGACCAAATCCTCCCCAAAACGATTGCTCCCTAGCTGTGTTGCCATCTGCCAGCTTTCAACCTACAGCAAATTTCATTTTCAAAGCAGAAGCCATGAGTAAACAGAAATAACTTCTAACTAATAAAACAGCAGATCTTAAATTCATCAGGAGCTGACAATGCAGTGACAGCAACCCATCAGTGGAGTGGAAGTATTTACATCATAAAAGGTTTCCCTCCACTCACCACCAAAACCTACAAAGTGTCCAACATAAAATTCAAGACTGAGTAAAGGAAGTCATGATGAAGTCAGATGATATCCTTAGGAAATTCTGCATCCAGACAAATACCAACAAATCAATTAATAGTCCCCAAGTCTCCATGTGCCTGCCAGAGACTGACCAGGTCACAACAGGACATAATGAAATACAGTGTCCACTCCCAGTGACTTTACCTTCCTCTTGCACTCAGTGGGAGCATAGTTCCTCATAAATATTTAACCTAAATTGCAAAGCAGACAGATCAACTTGTCACATGAACACCAGGATGTTAAGCTGAAAATCTTAGGATGACAGCCTCCATTTTCATTAATAGTCTACTATTCACACTTCTATTTGTTTTTAAAGACAGTTTTATATAAGGTATTTTATAATTACAATTTTAATTTTTGACAAGGGAAAAATAGACATAATTTGCTTTACTCTCGTATAAAACACTAATTATTTGGCTGTAATTATCCAGATTTAAGATGCTGAGGAGTCTTCGTAAAGGACTTCATCTACCTTCATGTCATTTTCATTCACTGGGACCTGGAGGCAAATCTGTTCTTTGAAAGCCAGCGCCAGGGTGTAGGGCTTCACTTCCTGATGCTGCAAACAGCGCTTCAGGTAGGCATCATAGTAGCCCTTGCCCCTTCCCAGTCGGTTGCCATGTTTGTCAAACCCAAGGCCTGGCATGAAGATGAGATCCAGTCCCCCTGCAGAAAAGAGGACAAATTTAGAGGATTAACGTTTCTGAAAGATCACTTCAGGATGTGTTCTTTGTTTTGCAATGACATCTATTCTTCCTCTGATTTCTAAAAACAATGTATGACCATTCATATCCAAAAAGCAAAAAAGGAAATAAAACTTACTCAGCAACTCAGTAAGTCTCTTATTCATCCTTCCAACAGATTTTTCACATACATCTGTACAAAAGTGCCAGATTCCCAGACCCCATTCATAATTAGTTAAATAAAGAGAATCTCCAGATAGGGCCTTCTTTTTTCGAGCATCCTGGTGATTCTCCATACCTGTCAGGTTTGGAAATCAATGCCCCAGGATAATGACAGTTGGAGGGCGGGAGAGGATCAAGGAGGAACCATAAGGACAGAGCTGTTCTCAGGGTCAGTGAGCAGAAAGAGACTGCTGTTAGGTGTACTAAGCAGTTCAGACAGCCTACTCCCTCCTCCTCTCCCTTCCCATTGGAGAGGCAAGGCCAGGCTGCCGGGCTTCCCAAGACTGTGAGAGCAGGCTTTGACCTACTCAGGGACATTCCAAAGGTACACGATGGGGACCCACATCTAGTCCTCTGGCTAGAACCCTCTCAAGTAACACAAAGACCAGAACTGGCTATGACATTATAAGGACAGAATGCTGGAGCTCAAGGTGGGAGGCAGGGTCCTGGAGGCTACAGGAACCCAACTACAGGAAGGGTGTATGGGGACTCCCAGGAAGACAGCAATAAAGGTCACTAGGTGAAGGACCTCCATGAAGGAATGGTCCTCCAGCCTCTGGCAAGCAGCATGGGGTACCAGTGTCAGCACAAGAGCCACATCACATGTCCAACCCAGTAGTCTGCCCTGTGGCCTCCTTGTACCGAGCCCTGGCCTCCTGACAGCTGTCCTGGGGGTTTCTGGGTGACCTACAGCTTAGTCGTGGACTAATCATCCACATGGCATTGCTGGCAAGATACACCAGGGTTGGAAGTCATGAATTCTCCAGAACATGGTGTTCAGGGTAGAGAAGATCAGATTGCCAGCTCAGCTGGCCTCTGCTATCAGCAGATGTTCTGACTACCTGCAGAACTGTGAGGTGGACTCAGCTTCTCTCTGGCTCCCAGCACACACCTGGTCACCCCCTTCCTGCCAAAATCCAGCAGAGCATGCCTCAGATTACAGTAATGACCTTCCCCTGTAAACCTGCTCGTCTATTCCAATCCCAACTTGCTAAAAAGGTCTTGGTCACTGACCTTTGTCTTTCCTCCCTGTCCCCGTCCAGCCCATTTGTCCCTCTTAGGATTGACAGTGGCCTGTGCATTTGGACTTTAGTCCCTCGTGTCCTCTTTCTGTTGCCAGAGCACCATCAGGCTTGAAGTTCAGTTCTGTCTTCTATACCTAGAACACACACGCACACACCTTTCTAAGGATTCCTGCCTCTTTACAGCATGGCAAGGGCTCTGTAAGATCCTCTGGAGGACACACAATCTCTTCCCTTCACAAGGTGGTAGTTCAGTTAATACAAAATATACCCACATGTAATATCCATTTCAATGCATGACAGTAGTCCCTGCCAAATGCCCCAAAAGCAACAGAGACAAATACTAGAGACCTCAGCAGAGGGAGAGCAAACGCTGGGTGGTCAGTGAAGAATTCACAGAAAACTCAACTTGACCTGGATTTTTAAGATATGTCAGAGTTGGGTCTAAATATCTTTCAGAAACCAAAAGGAGGGTGGCAAGAGCTGAGCGAGGGAGTAGGGGAGTGGGGAGAAGTTTACTTGCTGGGACAGAAGGATCAAACTGAGGAGTAGCAGAAGACATGAGGGTAGAGTTCATTAGGTAAGGGCATGGAGATTTGGGGTCAAAGTCTCAAAGACTCCCTAGAACGCAATAGCAAAAAAACAACCCAATTAAAAACTGGGCAAAAGACTTAAACAGACATTTCTCTAAAGAAGACATAAAAATGGCCAACGGGCATATGAAAATATACTCAACATCACTAATCATCAGGGAAACACAAATCAAAACTTCAACGAAATATTACTGCACACTCACGAGGATGTCCAATTTCCAAAACACAGAAAACCACAAATGTTGGCAAGGATGTGGAGAAATTAGAACTCTTGTACGCTGCTGGTAGGGATGTAAAATAGTTCAGCTATTACAGAAAAGAGTATACGGGTTCCTCAAAAAATTAAAAATAGAACTACCGCATGGCCCAGCAATCCCACTTCTGGGTATTTATCCAAAGGATTGAAGCCAGGGTCCTGAAGAGATATTTACACTCCCATATTCACTGCAGCATTATTCACAACAGCCAAGATATGGAAACAACCTAAGTATGTATCGATGAATGAATGAACAAACAAAATGTGGTACATACATTCAATGGAATATTATTCAGCCATATCAAAGAAGAAAATTCTGCAATACGCAACACACGGATGAGCCTTGAGGATATTACACCAAGTGAAATAAGTCAGTCACAAAGAGACAAACACTGAATTATGCCACTAACATAAGGATATTATGTCAAGTGAAGTAAGTCCTCACAAAAAGACAAACAGTGTATGATGCCACGTACATGAGGTACCTAGAGTAGTCAAACTCTTAGAAACAGAAAGTAGAATGATGGTTGCCAGGGGCAGGAGAAATGGGGAGACAAGGAGTCACTGTTCAATGGGTACAGTTTCATTTGTACAAGATGAAAAAGTTCCAGAGATCTGCTGCACAACTATGCTTACAGTTAACCATACTTTCCCAGACACTTACAATTTTTAAGACAGTAGATCTCACATTATATGTATTTACCACAGTAAAAAATAAAAAAGGCAGAGGCCAAAAGAGAAGCCAGGAGAATTGTTAGGATTTCCACCAGAGTCAACACACAAGAAAGAAAAGGCAGAATTTTGGAACATCCACATTTAGGCAGCTACAGGAAAAGAATGAAGAAATGAAACAGAGATAAGAAAACAACATTCTCAAACCCCCTGAGCGAGAGTTAATCTTTCTCCCTCTTTCCTTGTTACTCCTGTACTTTGATCACAGCTCTCACTGAAGTCTACCTTGTGCCACAGTTGATGGTACATGTCTCTTGTCTGCCCCACCAGACAGAAAATTTCTTTGGGGGCCATAATTTTGTACAAGTCATCTTTCATGCTTGGCTTTTAACAGAATTTTAGGCCAAAGAAACCCTGAAAAACGAGTGTTTTGCCACAGAATGGATCAATCCCAGAATGACATCCCCTATTTTAATAATTCCAAAGTACATAAGTTTGGCTCAAAGAGGCAAAAAATAAAATAAAATAATAAAAACACAACTTTGTATGGATGCTTGTTCAAAATGAGTTCTACACTTGTGAAGCAAGAGGAAAATGTTTTTGGATTCCCAGGTAACCAAGTTTCCGAAATGGCCCTTCCCACGTGGAGGTCCTTACATGGTACATGGGGTATTGCTGTTGGAGCCGTGCCCACAGCATTGTTCCTGCTGCTCCCTTCAACCACGGGGATGGTAGCTTGCTCCTGGCCTCAGGTCCTTAAGATACTCTTCCTGGTCTGCTCCCACTTCTGCTACTTGGTGAATCCAAGTGTTTAAAACTTACACATCGTGTACTCTTTGCTTGACTTTATTTATTGCCACCCTTGAAGCTCTTCCTGTGCCTTACCACCATCCCCACAGGCATCGCCCACCCCACACACACCCCGGGGCTCCTCACACTTTGGGAACACTATGCTGGACGCTTTTCTCCCTCAAAGGTGATGGCTCAGTGGGGCTTGAAAATCATGCACAGGTCCAACAAGCTTCCCTCACACACACTGGTCTCTCTAATAGAGGTAGATGCCAGAGCCACCTTCACACACCACAAGGTCAGAATTCAGTAGGGGAGACAGAAGAGCCTGAGTCCATGCACAGTTCCTCATTTGCCTCTGGCATGACTCTATTTTCAAATCACCAAGGGCTCATTAATAGCGTCCACTGACAGTGCAACATGCTAGAGCCAACCTGCTCTGATTCTGTTTAATTCTGTATGCACCTGCTTCACAGGCGCCCACTAGCCCAGAATGTGACCAGCAGAGCCAAAGAGCCCTGGCTCCATCAGGATTGCAACATGGTGTTCAGAAAAGAGCTCTCTGGATGTCATAAGGTTGTTCTGCGGAGTCATGATTTGTTGAGTGTTTTTCTCCAGGCTTCGCTAGCTTTCTAATGTGATCTTGCATTCCAAAACTGCAGAGCTAACCTTTGGAAAACTCACCCAGCCCCGCACACTGCATTTACACGCTCAAAAACATCTTCTGTCTTTTCATTTGGTGTTGGCTCTGAAACAGCAGTGCCCCCTGGAGGCAGGCTGGTGTGGTGATTAGGCTATTTCTTCACTGTGTGATCACCGGCAAGCCACTGCAATCTCTGTGCTTCCATTTGTTTTCTCATGTGTAAAATGGAACTGCCCATGAAAACTGTATTAGATAATGCAACGCATCTGTTCACGACAATTCTGCTCATTAGGGTAACTTTCAATTTTTTCTTTTTAAAGAAATCTCAGGTACCATTTCTTCAATCAGGTAGCAGAGAAAGGGGGTATAGTTTCTCCAATACCTCAAGTATTTTTTTGACCAGAGCTTTTACAACCTTACCTTAGAACTAGCTCTTACATGTTCTCTCAGCAACAGGGTTAAGCAGAGCCAAAGAGCGGGGGAGAAAACCAGGGGAGAGTGAAGTTATAGAATGCAGATTAGCAAATTTAGGTGTCCCATGAGACACCTAACTCTCAACCAAAGTCTTGCTTCTGGAAGAGAAGAAGAGCACAGAAATAACATTTGTAAAGTGCCTACAATGTGTCAGGCAAGATGCCATGTCCTGGAAAGAGAAGGATGAATAAAACCAGCTGGTCAATGCATCTACCTAGGGAGGCAAGAGGGTGGGAACTATTATCCCCATTTCATAGAAGAATAAACTGATGCTCAGAGAGCTCAAATTACTCCCTAAAGTCATTCAACTTATAAGAGACTCAGCTCATAAGAGATGAAGCTGAGGGCCTGCTGTTGCAGATGGACAATGACTTCACAACATACAGGGTTCCTACTGTCAAAAGATGCAAATGAGATTCAGCCAAGGAATGGAGGGAACACAACAAGGCCAAGCATCTTGGAAGCAGTAGAGGAGAGGGGTTAAGTGTGCAGGATTCTAGCCAGGCTGCCCGGTTCTGAATCCAGCACTAACACTTATTAGCTATGAAACATCAGTCAAAATTGCCTTCACCTAAAATCTAGAATGGATAAACACATTATGATGGAAAGAGTCTCTAAGCTATTAATACCAAATGTCAACTTAATCAACTGCTGCATGCCTACTCCTTAGGCCACATGGCTGATTACAGAGAGACACAGGCACTTCCATCAAACATGCTTCTAAAACATGAAGAGGCTGAAATCCTAAAATAAAATACAAAACCAATAATTCATGATAGCTCTTGAGGCGGAACTGTCAAAAATCAATACCATATGCTTTGAACTCATTATGATAGCCTTAGAAAGAACAGATTGAAGCACAACATCCTTGAATCACTCTTCACATAAAACAGTACAGCACATACAAGGTAATAAACAAAACCATTTACATGACTGCAATAATAAAATATATTCAACTTCTGATTATATATAAAAATTGGGTTTTTTAAAAATACGCTTCCCTGCAAATCTATAACATGCTGAAGGAGGAGTTAACTAAGCCACCTGATACAGACTGCTAATTTTTAGAAATTACATTGTAAACACACCTTCACTCTTTCTGCTATGAGTGGTCACAACATATTTTGGCCATCTAGGAATATTCACACTGAATCAAACACACTGTAGTAAGAACCATCATTAAAGACATGATTATCATAACTGACCACATTCGCAGTGTTACTGTAAAATTCTTTCATTTAACACAGATGCTAACATTTGCACCAGAATATAGGGACTGTATTTATCATAAAAGCACTGGAAATAAGTACCAACACCATGTAAGGTAACCCTTCTCCTCGTATCCCTGGGTGACACAGGTCATTCTACTAATCAGTTAATGAGGTATTCAGAATATAAGACAATCTGTGTGTGTCTCATATTTAAAACCTAAGCGTATTATGGGTTCAAGGCTTTCACTCAACCTTATGAACTCTGACTGTGTGTTTAAATGAAGGAAGTAAGAGGTGACAGGAATTCAGACTCTTTTAAGTAAAGTTGAAAGCAAATAAGAAATATGAATAACATTTAGTGACTTGGCTGCTGAAGATCTCACCAACAGCACTGTCCTCCGACCTAATCCAAAGAGCCTAGAAAAGTATCACGGACAACAGGCTGGAAGTCAAGCTCCAATGGGTTATAAAAACCAATCCTTCTACCCATAATACAGGTTTAGCCCTACAAGGATATCTCAGGGTGGATACGAAAGAAGACTGGCTGCCTCTGGAACAAGGTATTAAAGAACAGGATACTTGGATGAGAAGGATATTTTATACTTTCACGTTACTGTTCCGTACAATTTAAATTTTTATCATGTGCATATGGAACCAAATTTTTTAAAATATCATCCTTCTAGCACATCAAGGACAAACCTAGGCAGTCTCTGTATTAGACAGTCCAGCACAGCAGCTATCTATGCGGGCTTCTACAGAGACTGCCTGGGTTTGAATCCGTTAACTGCCGCCACTAGCTAAGAAACATTAGTAAAGTTACTGAAACTGTCTTTGAAACCCAATTTCTTCTCTTTCAGATAAAAATAATTCTATTTACAGGAGATAAAACTCTAGTAAGTGTTCAATAAGTGCTAAGAACATTATACTTGGGGATACGAATAATGCCTACCCTATTTCTGTTGACTATGAAAGTTATTTCTCGAGTCATAATCCTAACACTCCAAGAGCTACCATGCAGATTTCCTATCTGCCCAAACCATGGGCAAGGGTGGGCCTAGCTCTCTACTGCCACCTCCTGTCGACTAGAAACGTGCAGGTGAGAGCCATCCATAAGAAACTGCTCAAGCCTTAGGCGGAGCAGAAGCCATGATGGCTCACTGAAACACGCAGTCTCTGATACAGGGTGATAGGAAAGCATTCCTCTGTTAGAAATAGCCTTTCTCTTTAAAAGGATCCTTTGAGGCGTATCTGATTGCAAACCAAGAAAAATGAAGATGTGGGCTTATTTTTAATTTCTTCTTTATGTCTTATCTTTATAATAAGAACAAAGCTGTTTTCCTTTAGAAAAAAATTGTCCGTACTCAGAAAAATTTTCAGTCTTCTTTTTGAAGATGTACTTCAAACATGCTATTTTCTTAAGTGTTTTTTATATCTTAAGCCTTCTATGCTGTCTAGAAAAAAACTCTAAAATTATGTCAACAGATAAATTTGATTTACCTTATGTTCTTAGTGACCATCACCATCACCATAAACAACTACAATTGTATATGACAGAAGGCAAGCTAGGTTGCTACGGACTGAAAACTGGGAATGGTGATCCAATACTTTATTACCGGGGGTTGCAAACTATGGCCTGCAAGTCAAATCTGGTCCACTGTCTGATTTTGTAAATAAAGTTTCAATGGGACACAGCCATGCTCTGTTTTCACACTAAAGCAGCAGAACTGAATCACTGCAATAGACACTGTATGGACCACAAAGCCCCAAACATTTATTGTCTGGCCCTCTGCAGAAAAAAATGCCCTGCCAATCCCAACTTTAACTTCTGCCGTAAGGTTTTTAACAAAAACTCTATACGTCAGCTTATCCTACCTTAGCAGATATTGACAAAAATAAATCTTACTGGAAAAAATATAATTTAAACTCTCTTTACTGCAGATATGTAAAAATGGTCTGCAGAAAATAGGATCCACATCAGCAGTAGCTTAATCTAAGTGGCATTTCTAAATATTATGTTTATTTGGCATCTGAGTTGTTAGTAATCAGATGGACCTAAAAATGAAACAGATAAGAAATGACAGATCTTCCTAGGATTTTTCACTAAGTGTAGGCAACCTCTTGTTGTCTGACTTTACTCATCTGTAAAATGGATGAAGTTTTCAGTATGTTTTTTGACTTTCATTTTAGGTTCAGGGGTACATATGCAGTTTTGTTACACAAGTAAACTCATGTCACAGGGGTTCGGTGTACAGATTATTCCACTACCCAGTAGGTATTTTTTCTGATCCTTTCCCTTCTCCCACCATCCCCACCCTTAAGGAGGCCTCAGTGTCTGTTGTTATCTCTTTGTTCCATGTGTTCGCATCGTTTAGCTCCCACTTATAAGTGAGAACACGCAGTATTTGGTTTTCTGTCCTTGTGTTAGTTTGCTTAAGATAATAGCCTCCAGCTCCATCCATGTGGCTGCAAAGGACATGATGATCTCATTCTTTTTTATGGCTGCGTACTAGTCTATGGTATATATGTACCGGTATCATTTTCTTTCCTCAGTCCTCTACTGATGGGCATTTAGGCTGATTCCATGTCTTTGCTATTATGAATATTGCTGCAATGAACATGTGTATATGTCTTCATGGTTGAATGATTTATATTCCTTTGGGTATAGACTCAATACTGGGATTGCCAAGGCAAATGGTAATTCTGTTTTTAGTTCTTTGTGGAATTGCCACATTGCTTCCCACAATGGCTAAACTAATTTACATTCCCACCAGCAACGCATAAGCATTCCCTTTTCTCCACAACCTCACCAGCATCTGTTATTTTGTGACGTTTTAACGACAGCCATTCTGACTGGTGTGAGACGAAAGCTCACTGTGGTTTTGACTTGCATTTCTCTAATGATGAAATCAAAGCTTTAGAATCAAAGCTTAGTGACTCTGAGAATATAAGGACAATTCTTTATCTGTGTGACTCAATCAAGAAATAAATTAAGCCAATTACAAAAAGACAAACATTATATGACCCTAATTAAATGAGGTCTTGAAAGTAATCAAACTCATAGAATCAGAAAGTAGAATGCTGGTTATCAGAGGCTGAAGAAAGTGGGGAAAGAGGAATTGTTTAATGGGTATAGAATTTCAGATACGCAATATGAAAAATTCTGGAGATCTGCTGCACAGCAATGTGAATAGACTTAACACTCCTGAACTGTAACTTTAAAATGGTTAAGATAGTAAATTTTGTTATGTGTTTACCACAACAAACAAAAAAAAAAAAAGGAAGAAAAAAATTAGACATTGAGGGAAGAGTCTAGAGGGCAGTCCATCCTATCTATGCTCACGTTCATGTGAGGGTGTACTCAAGAAAGAAAAGCCTGGCTTACTCTTAAAAGCAGTGAAGAACAATTTCTTCAGATACAGAAATATAAGGGTGTTTTGTAGCTATTTCTGTTTTTCTCACTTTTTAGAAGATGAGCTCTTGGTTGAGTGAGGTGGCTCACACCTGTAATTCCAGCACTTTGGGAGGCCAAGGCAGGCGGATCACGAGGTCAGGAGTTTTAGGCCAGCCTGACCAACATGGTGAAACCCCATCCTGCTTTTTTTACAAAAATTAGCTAGGCTTGGTGGCATACACCTATAATCCCAGCTACTCAGGAGGCTGAGGCAGGAGAATCGCTTGAACCCAAGAGGCGGAGGTTGCCGTGAACTGAGACTGTGCCACTGCACTCCAGCCTGGGTAACAGTGAGACTCCATATCAGATTAAAAAAAAAAAAGATGAGCTCTCAAAGTCACTATTCTTAATTAATTATTGTACCGCATAATTTCTGAGCCTTTAGAGTTTAGTAAAAAGGAAACTTCTGCCTGCCTTTCACCATTTTTTTTACTGAGCTGTTAAATGACCACTTGGAAGTCCTGCAACCTCTCTGGTTCAGTACATTTAACTAAAATAAAATTACACGGTGCATTGTATTTCTCCTGCTTGCTCTCTTCTTGCACGCCTAAGAGGACTCATAGTCCGGCTAATAA